ACCCTGTGAATATGTAATTTTCTGGAGTGTGCCCAGAGTTTATCTAGGGTTTTCACAGGGGTCTGTTACTCGTCAAAGGCCAAAACCACGAATTACCTCATCCTTATTTTTGTTTTGGTCAGAGAGCTAGCCCTAAATGTTTCACTTACTATTTTGTAGGAATCATTTCATGTGTTTTATTTTCAGCCATTTAAGCTGTTCTTCAGAAGCACAATGAAAACAATAATGTGTACTTAATGATGAAATATACACATGATGAACAAAAACTACAAGATTTCTTAGGGCAATAAAATTAGATAAATGCACTAGTTCATCTCCAATGTCCTTTCCAGCTTCCAAAGTTATGGTTGTTATCCCTACTATTTGGAAAAGCAGTCATTTTTCCACAGTAAAATTTTGCAGAACTGAGTTTTGAAGTATCAGTAATAATCCAGGAACTAGATAGAAAAATTAAGGGTTACTGCAAGTGCTACCAATTAGTACTCAAATGTTCTTAATTTCAAGCGGTTCCTTTATCCAATTCAAATGTGTTAATTTCTTATATGATATAGGAAAACAGTTTCTGATATCTTTACAAGTGACTGTATTTGTCCTAAAGACTCTTTTTTGTTACATGTTTAAAGAAAATTTTTTTGATTCTTCAATAGGCAAGTTTGGTTGGTTTAGTGGATTATCCAGATGATGAAGAGGAAGATGAAGAAGAAGAAACATCCCCCAGGAAAAGACCTCGTCTTGGCTCATAAAGTATTTATTAGGGGACCCTCAACATGTGGTCTTAAAATGCTGCAACTGTTCAGTGAGCTGAAAATCTGAATCAGAAAGCTCTCTCACTTAACCTTATAAAAATATACAAGGAGTAGCAAAAGACACTCAGTCTATCAGCTAAGAGAGTTTAGTTCTATTAAGAAAACAGGCTTCCCAGGAACTTGATTGCTTGCTAGTAATTAAGGGATTTGCCTTTTATGCTGTCAAAACAAAGTTAGTAACCAGAACCTGGAAGATAGCTTCTCAGCAAGGAAAAGTCACACAGGTTTGGGGACGGTTTAGGGGAGGGGAAAAGGTTGATATAATAATGCAGGGTTGCTCTTTGGGGTATCAATCTAGAAACAATTACAGAACTTCAGTTGTAAACTCAATAACATAATGTTATAATGGTGCTGGCCATGTTGTTTTAGGGTTGCCTCTTTTTAAAAGAAATTTTTATGGAAAACACATTCAATTATCATTAAAAAAATGAAGTTAAGCTGTTGGGACCATGTCTTTGAAGATTTAACAAAAACTCAGCCTCTTAGGTAGTTGAAGGGAAGTACACCCCGTATTCAGCACATGTTGAGTTTCTACAAAAGAAATTTTCAGTACATATGTTGATGAAAACAAGCTGGATTCAAAATGGACAGTTTTTTAAAGATAATGTTAAAATCAGCACTTTTAGAGAAAACAACGGCCAGGAATCAGTACAGTAGTATTCCAAAATGATTTCTCTAGTAATTTGAGAATGGATAAAACAGAAGGTTTGCAACCGCTGACCAGTATAATCTTTTGTGGAAGATACTTTGAAATCACTTTCTGCTTTGTTAGTAAAGTTGTCTCTCTTTCCAAAGCTACAGCAACTTTTGAAGTGTTATTTATACAGACCAACAAAGAATAGTGCTGAATTAACTGGCATTTAATATCTAGAAGCCATTTTGATCCAAGAAGCTACTTAAGTGTCAGAGTCAGCAGGAAACACATGAAGCTTCTCCATAAATAAGGGTGTGATATGAAAGCTGCTTTTTAAAAAAGAGTAAAAGCACATTCCATGTATGTAAATGAATTTTAAAAATAAATTGAGGCAAACCGTTAAGTTTTATTTTTAGAGCAGCAAGTTAACTGTAAATATTTTAATGTTAGTTTGCTCATCTATGATCTGAGATCATGCCGAAGTGAGAAAAATGTCCCCAAAATACAATTTAATGCATTGGGAAAAAAAATTTTAATAGTAATTCCAGCCACAATCTTTAGATCACCCTTGTAATGTGTTATGGGTCCATTTTTCCTGGAATAGCTTAAACTGAAGCAGTTTCCCGTTTTGGAGATTTTGTAGTTAATTTTAATTTTGGCTATTGTTTGGAAAAGATGAGCTGTCTGTGTAGATATGAAGTATAGTTTTTTCCATAAAACAGATGTTTATTTTGTATTAAAAATACCACTGTACTTGTTTTACACCATTTGTATACATGTGGTGATATTAATGCTAAACTGTAAAATTCAGGAATTAAAATGTGACCCTGTAATTCCACAATTGATGTTTGTGTTTGGTTTGTTGTAAATATAAATTAATTCCATTTTGAGATATGTCAATTTTACAGTATCTTTTAAAAGCCAATAAAATTATCCATAAACTGCTAGTTCATACACCAATTTTAATGAAATAATTCTAAACAAATGTGGGTCAGTGGCACTTTAAATATCACTTCTTATAGAAGGTAAGCCTTGGGGAAATCAAAGCATCACAGTATGGAGCTTTTCTCACCTCTTTGATTAAAGGTATACATATAATAAGAAAGACCTTTCACCTCATAAGGCAGGTGACTCAGGCTATTTTAAACCAAGATCAGTAAAATTGCCATCCACTTTCTTTGAAGCAAGTTTTATCAAGACCGGTCTCTCAGCTTTTATTAAATTTCTTCTTACAATAAGCCCACCTGTAAAGTACTTTCCTAGTTACTCTTTAAAATTTTTTTTTTTTTTTTGAGGCTCACTCTGTTGTCCAGGCTGGAGTGCAGCAGTACAATCTCGGCTCACAGCAATCTCCACCTCTGGGTTCAAGCAATTCTCCTGCCTCAGCCTCCGAAGTAGCTGGGAGTACAGGTGCCCATCACCATGCCCATCTAATTTTTAGTAAAGACAGGGTTTTGTCCTGTTGGCCAGGCTGGTCTTGAACTCCTGACCTGAACTGATTCATCTGCCTCAGCCTCCCAAAGTGCTGGGATTACAGGTGTGAGCCATCGCATCCAGCCCTCCTCATTACTCTTGACTCCTCAACTTTAAGTCCTAGTAGGAAGTACTATCTTTGTATCTTATGAAGACTTCCTTTATTTTTTCTTTCTGAAGTGCTGCCATAAGTCTTAAACATTTAAATCATCATCAGAACCTTTTCTTGTAGCAGAAATGTGAATGGTTTCTTGAAATACAGGTAACAGTTTTCATGGTACAAGTGCTTACCTATGACAAGAACAAGGCTTAAAATACCCCTTGAAAGAAGAGTTTTGAGAATTGCACGTTAGTGGCTGTCTTTAAATGACTACCCTCAGACAGATCTGGATTTTTATATCTTTATCTTCACTCAGTGAAGCAAGGCAAAAGCCCACATTTGTATGCCTTAGGTCCTCTTAAAATGGTATCTGTAAACATGTATCCAATATAAAAACTTTTTAATAAAAAGTTAAATGAAACATTTCTGTGTTTTAATCACTAGCATTTCCTTTTATCCATCTAATGATGAAAATATAACAAATGTAGAATACTGGTTTTTCTGCAGGTTAAAGGTTGGAATTATATGACTGAAATGAGCAAATCTTGTTAATTTTGATATCCCTTTTTAAAAGTTTACAAGTATAGATTTAAGGAGATAGGTCGTGATTTTAAGTTAAATCTTGGGAGTATCCTGTACTTAGGAAACGGTGGATGTGGGATGTCACAAGACTGGAAGTTTTTCTTTTTTTTTTTGGAGATGGACCCTTGCTCTGTGGCCCAGGCTGGAGTACAGTGGTGCAATCTTGGCTCACTGCAACCTCTGCCTCCCAGGTTTAAGCAAGTCTCCTGCTTCAGCCTCCCAGATAGTTGGGATTACAGGCACACACCACCACACCCAGCTAATTTTTGTATTTTAGTAGAGATGGGGTTTCACCATTGCTGGCCAGGCTGGTCTCGAACTTCCAACCTCAAGTTATCTGCCCACGCCTCGGCCTCCCAAAGTGCTGAGATTAGAAGCATTTTTTTTTTTTTTGAGATGGAATCTGGCTCTGTCGCCCAGGCTGGAATGCAGTGGTGCGATCTTGGATCACTGCAACCTCCGCAAGTGATTCTCCCTGCTGCTGCCTTCCAAGTAGCTGGGATTATAGGCGCCTGCCACCACACCCAGCTAACTTTTGTATTTTTAGTAGAGACAGGGTTTCACCATGTTAGCCAGGCTGGTCTCAAACTCCTGACCTCAGGTGATCCATCTGCATCAGCCTCCCAAAGTGCTAGGATTACAGGCATGAGCCACCATACCCAGCCTAGAAGTTTCTGAAAGAAACTTCTATTATTGTGGTTTATCTTTAAACAAGCAGACTACAGAAAATTATCCTAGGGTCACTTCTCATAAAAAAACACCAACATCCAGTGGTGGCATTTTTCAGTGATTTGACACTGCTGGTATTACAACATTTAAAATCCAGAGCTGTAACTGTGCTACTGCACTCCAGCCTGGGCAGCAGAGCAAGATCCTGTCTCTTAAAAAAAATGTAAATCCTCACATTTCATACAAGACCCTGCACTACTATCAGTACACCACCCATCTCCAATCTCATATGCTAAGCCTCTCCAGTTATTCAGTATGTGCTTTATTTTCTGCTGCAGAACCTGAGTTATTTCCTTACCTATTCTTTGTGTAATTAACCTTCCATTCAGCTTAAAAAGGCTTAGTTAGCCCTGCTCATAGCACTCTACCCTCTGCCTTTCTAACACTTTGGTCTTCAAGACTTTTCTACTAGCCTCATGAAGGCAGTGACGCTGTCAATCCAGTTGACTACTGTATCCTTAGCACTTAGCACAATGCCTGGCACAAACAGTAGGTAATCGAGTCTGAATGAATGAACTATCAAAGTAGTTTCTTTCTATACTCTCTTTCCAAGGAAAAACACCCAGGAATTTGTATTAAAGTAATCAATATGAGTAGCTGCCTTCCCAATTTCCTTTACCTAAAGTGTTTAAAATAATAAGATACTTGCATTTACAAAAGTGTTTGAAACTAAAGGTCTCAGTGGAAGGACTAAATTTATTTTTAAGACAATTTGAACTTCCATTTTGTTAAACTGTTTTTAATGATTACTTATTAATAACTTCTTCTTTGAGTTTCTCTGCAAGCAATCTCCTCTTTAGTAATGTTTGCTTCTCCTCTGCTGTCATTTCTGGCTTCTCTGTCATTTCTGGCTTCTCTGTCATTTCCTGAAAAAAAAGGGAAAAAAAAAGTTGGCTACACCATGAACAGGGCCATTTGTCTAAAATTCCCAATATACTACCTCAAATGAACAAAGGTTAGAGGCATTTTTTTTAGGGGTGGAAGAAGAGACAGACGTAGACTAGGTTTCCTAAATTTCTTACTCATAAAGTCTCTTCTTGGAGAAGCCCTGTTGGAAATGGTGGCTGGGATACTGATGCTGCTCTTTGAGAAAACATCTCAGAATGCTCAGGTAAAACAGACCACTGACCCTTACATACTCAGAGCAGAGCAAGTAAAGAAACAGCATAAGAAAAAAAAATGTACTATGACACCACTGTTATTTTCTGTCTCATAAAATCCTTATCACAACAATTTCACTTCCTCGAAAACACTTAGCAGCTACTGCACTAGGAGGTAGTTAATATGCATGAGTCTGCAAGCAAAATTTATTAAGAGGCTGTCTTGCACATATTCTGATTTTGAGAGTTCTACTACCAGATTTACAAATCTTGACATACTAAGGTTAGCCATACCTCTACCTCCCCAGTGGGTTTTCCCTTCTGCTCCGTATTTTGTATCTGCTTAGTCCTCATATCCTTTCTCAGGGACATCAACTTATCTCTCTTCTGCTTGAGATAGTGTTCTCGTTGCCGAAGTTCTTCTGTTCCAAGTGCTGATAAATTCTGGGTCAAATAAGAAAAGGAACTATCTAAATTCAAGTCCATTTAGTAAGTAGCACAGATGCCCACTGACTGATTCAATTCAAAGTTTGATTTCCCAGTACCTTGTCACTTTGCTTATAGTTCTTAAAAGTGATGTCTTTTACTTACTGCTATTGGTCCTTCAATGCTCGCATGTTCTAAGTCAGGAATCTTTAGGCCTTCTTGTGGGAGGGAGGAAGTTTCAGACATTTCCACCTTTCTTCCCAAAGGTTCTACTGACTGATTAGCAAAATGCACTTTAACTTCTGGCAGTAAGTAGAAAATAAGACCAATTAGAATATTAAGAGAATATTAAGTATTAGGCTAGGTTTACCAAAATGAGCTAACGTTAGTACTACTTGTTTCTCCTCATATTCACTCAGTCAACATATATTCAGTGTCTATATTGTGCCAGCCACTGGGCAAGAACAATCAACATCATCTCTATCCTTAAGAAGCTTGGAACTACAGTTTCTCACCTGTATCTCAACAAGTACCACGCTCTTGCTGTGTGTAGAGTATTACAGCTACAAAAAGGTAAAATCCTTGTCTAAAGATTTAGTATAAACTATACTATAATACAAGATTGCCACATAAGCCAAATGGGCAGTACACTAATCCCTTACTAACAATGTAATTGGTTTCCAAACTTTTGCTTGCAAGTAAAAAGTCACCCTATATTTTCAGAACAATTAATGTAAAGCTGTCATTTTTTGTACTGCGAGAATAAAAGTCACCAATGTCAATAATTTTTGTTTATAAATTGAAGGTAACTATAAACCTGCCAATGCATTGTGAAAATGTACAGATTTCTAAAGCAAGTAGAACTTGGAAGCACATATAAACATGAGCATGAAATGCTTTCCAGCCATTTGGTGACTGTGCCAACCAAGAGAGAGGGTTAACATTCTCATTGCTCCTCTGGGCCAAATTTTATTATAAGGTGATTGTTTTTAAAAAGATAAAACCTTTTCAGTGTAAGTACATGGGCTATGAAAGAAAGCACATTGAGACAAGCAATGACTTACATTAAAATGATGCTAAGATCTAAAAGCATGATAAGAAAACATGGCACACATGTCCCTAAGGATAAAAATTTTTGCCACACCTGGTTGATCCTTACAGTTAAAGAAAGAAAGAAACCTTGACAGCATACATACTAAAAGAGAAAACAGAATTTTGTCCATGCAAGAAACTTGACAACAGACCACTGCTCTAGTAGTGACTGGACTGACTATAGTGCCAGAGAGGTTGGAGGGCTTTACAGGCCCTTAGACAATAAGGGAAATCTCCATGGAAGAGATAAGCTGGAACCAGCACTCCAAACCAACCTAGACAGGGAGCTACAGAACTAACAGCAATAGAGTTAAAACAACACTGTTGTTACTGATAGTGACTTTAGCAGAGGTAGGCTTAGCCCTCAATGGACTCACAGAGTTGGAGAAAGGACAGTTCAAATCATTCCTGAGGAGGGGAAAGCCCATACATATAAGCATTTATATTCCACTCATGTTCTTTCTCTGGACAGTTCTTGCCTTGGGTTTGTTAATTATGAACATACATATATTCTCAAACCTAGAGAGGAAAGTACTTGAAGCCAAAATACTTGGCTTCTCTAATTTCTAGGAAGGAAAGATCAGAAAGCCAGAAAACCGAAAGAAAGATCATCTCATATCTGGCAACTCTGCATCAATCTGAGAAAAGATACTATCTATTGCTAGCAGGAACAAGGGAAAGACAGGCAAAAGGTCAAAACAGGACATCAAACAACTTCATGATTCTTCCACACTTAGGTCTTCATAATGGGCTTCCATCACTTGGTATGAAGTGATTTTCTGAAATACCACATAGGCTCATTAAAAAAACTTTTTTTTTATTAAAATCATTACTTTTGAAATTATCTACCATTTGTGTTGTGCCATTAATGTGTAAACTGAATTACATGTGGTTTGAGATCAAGTTTTCTACAGCTTCACTTAATCAGGTAAGAAAGCAGACAAAGCTAATTTATTCAAATCATGTTAGACACAAGATTTAAATAGTATAAGCACTTAGGCATATATAAAACAAAGTTAATTTGTGTCAGCAAATTAAAATGGAGCACAGACAAACCTAAAGCAGGAGGTTTCAAAGGTATAATTCAAATGAGGCTATTTCTACTTACAATCTGCAGAATATATCAGAATGTATATGTGTGTGTGTATGTATATACATATATATATATACACAAATAAAGAAATGGTTTGACTTGATACAAAGAAAGAAGCAAGAACCTCACAAATTCAATTCTAGTTTGATATCCTGTTTTGTCAAGTAAGACTCTAACTCCTTAAAATTAATGGGTGCTCTCAGTAAACTAGCAATAGAGGGGAACTTCCTCAACTTCATAAAGAGTATCTAAAAAAACTCTAAAACTTAACACAATTTTTAATGGTGAGAAACTAGAAGGTTTCTCACAAAGATCAGAAACAAGGCAAGAATGTCCCCTCTCACCTTTCTGATTCAACATCATACTAGAAGTCCTATAAGATGGCCGGGCACGGTGGCTCACACCTGTAATCCCAGCACTTTGGGAGGCCGAGGCAGGCAGATCATGAGGTCAAGATATTGAGACCATACTGGAAACATGGTGAAACCCTGTCTCTACTAAAAATACAAAAAATTAGCTGGGCATGGTGGCACAAGACTGTAGTCCCAGCTACTAGGGAGTCTGAGGCAAAAGAATCACTTGAACCCAGGAGGCAGAGGTTGCAGTGAGCAAAGATCACACCACTGCACTCCAACCTGATAACAGAGAGAGACTCCGTCTAAAAAAAAAAAAAAAAAATCTAGTAGGACAAGAAAAGGAAATAAAAAGTACACTGATTGGGAAGGAATAAATAAAAATGTCTTTATTTGCAGAACATGTTCATCTACGTAGAAAACACAAAAGAATTGACAGAAAAACTGAAAAGAGTAATTATATATCAAGATTACAGGATACAAGATTAATATACAGAAGTTGTTCACTTTCCTTTATACTAGTAATGAATAAATGGAATTTGAAATTAAAAATACAGTATCATTTACTTTAGCACAATACCCCTAAAAAATGAAATACTTAGATATAAAAATAACACAATATGCACAAGATCTATATGAGGAAAATTATAAAATTCTAGAAAGAAAAAACTAAACAAATGGAGAGATATTCCATGGTTTGTTGTTTTTTTATTTTAACTTTTTTTTTTTGAGATGGAGTTTCGCTCTTGTTACCCAGGCTGGAGTGCAATGGCGCGATCTCGGCTCACTGCAACCTCCGCCTCCTGGGTTCAGGCAATCCTCCTGCCTCAGCCTCCTGAGTAGCCTGGATTACAGGCACGCGCCACCATGCCCAACTAATTTTTTTTATTTTTTCTAAGTAGAGACAGGGTTTCATCATGTTGACCAGGATGGTCTCAATCTCTTGACCTCATGATCCACCCACCTCAGCCTCCCAAAGTGCTGGCATTACAGGCGTGAGCCACAGCGCCCGGCCTATTTTAACTTTTTGTTTGAGACAGGGTCTCACTCTGTTGCTCAGGCTGTAGTGCAATGATGCAATCTTTACTCAAACTGCAACCTCCATCTCCTGGGCTCAAGCATTCTCCTGCCTCAGCCTCCCTAGTAGCTGGGACTACAAGCACAAACCACCATGCCCAGCTAATTTTTGTATTTTTTGTAGAGACGGGGTTTTGCCAAATTGCCCAGACTGGTATTGAACTCCTGAGATCAAGTAGTCTTCCTGCCTTGGCCTCCCAAAATGCTGAGATTACAGGCATGAGCCACCATGCCTGGCATATTCCATGTTTATGGACAGGAAGACTCACTAATGTCAAGATGTCAGTTATTCCCAACATGATCTATAGATTCAATATAATATAAATCAAAAATTCAACAAGTTATTTTGTGGATATTGACAAACTGATTCTAACATTTATATAGAGAGGCAAAAGACCCAGAATAGCCAATACAATACTGAAGAACAAAATTGGAGGACTGACACTACCCAACTTGAAGACTTCAAACTATACAGTATGGTATTTGCAAAAGAATGGAGAAATAGTTCAATGGAACATAACAGAGAGTCCAGAAATAAACTTACATAAATATAATCAAGTGATGTTTGACAAAGAAGCAAAGGCAATACAGTGAGGAAACAAAACTGGAACTGGACGTCCAAAAGAAAAAAGATGAATCTAGACACAAACTTTACACCCTTCACACACACAAAAATTCAAAATAGATCACAGACCTAAATGTAAAGTGTAAAACTGTAAGAATCCTAGAAGATAACATTGGATAAAATTTAGATGACCTTGGGTGTGGTGATGACTTTTTAGATACAACACCAAAGGCACAGCCTATGAAATAATTAATAAGCTGAACTTCATTAAAATTTCTGCTATGTAAAAGACAGTATCAAGAGGATGAGAAGACAAGCCATAGGCTGGGAGAAAATATTTTCAGCAGACACATCTGATAAAAGACTGTTATTCAAAATATACAAAGAACACTTAAAATTCAACAATAAGAAAATGAACCCAATTAACACGAAAGCAAACAACTCAAAAAATATTATGGGCCAAAGACCTTAACAGACATATCACCAAAGAAGATACATAGATGACAACCAAGCAATGAAAAGATGCTCCACATCATGTCATCAGGGAAATGCAAATAAACTTAACAATGAGATACCACTACACACCAACTAGAATAGTCCAAACGCAGAACACTGACAACGCCAAATGCTGGCAAGGATGCAACAAGAGCTCTCATTCTCTGCTATGGGGATGGAAATGGTACAGCCCTTTGGAAGACAGTTTGGCAGTTTCTTACAAAACTAAACATACTTTTACTGTAAGACATAACAATCACGCTCCTTGGTATTTACCCAAAAGAACTGAAAGCTTATGTCCACAAAAAAACCTGCACATAGATGTTTATAGCAACTTTATTCATAACTGTCAAAAATTGGAAGCAACCAAGATGTTCTTCAGCAGATAAGTGAATAAACAAACTGTGGCACATCCAGACAATGGAGTATTATTCAGCGCTAAAAAGAAATGAGCTACCAAGCCATGACAAGGCACAGAGAAACCTTACATGCATTATACTAAGTGAAAGAAGACAATCTGAAAAGGCTATGTACTACTGTATGATTCCAACTATATGGCATTCCAGAAAATGCAAAACTATGGAAACAGTAAAAAGATCAGTGGTTGCCATGGGTTAGGAGGTGGTAAGGATGAATAGGCAGAGCACAGAGAATTTTTAGGGCAGTGAAACTATATACTACATAATACCATAATGGTGAATACATATCATCATACATTTGTCAAAACCCATGGAATATACAATACCAAGAGTGAACCCTAATGTAAACTATGCTCTCTCGTTTGCTGGTAATGTTGTGTCAAGGTAGGTTCACCAACGGAACATATGTACTACTTTTGAGGGGGCTGATAATGGGAGCAGCTAAGCATATACTGGGCAAAGAGTATATGGAAGAAATATCTGTACCCTCTGCTTAATTTTACTGTGAACCTAAAACAGCTTCAATTAAGCATATTAAAAACAGAAAATTGCTCTCCAACTTATATAAAAAAGTAATGGGTAAACATCACATTAATCTCAACTATAGAAGTTCTTCTAAACTAAGGTATAGAAGAACAGAGTTAGTGTCAGAAGACCCAGCTAAGTCATAACTCCACCACTGAAGAGTTCAGTGATGATCTTGGTTAGACAAGTTGCTCAGCTTCCTTGAATTTCTTAAAAAAAAAGAAGGGATTGGTACAGTGGCTCATGCCTGTATTCCCAGTGCTTTAGGAAGCTGAGGCAGGAAGATCACTTGAGGCCAGGAGTTTGAGACCAGTCTGGGCAACACAGGTTATACCTGACTCAACAAAAATAATTTTTTTTAAAAAGGCAAAAGAAAAACAAAGATCATAATATCTACCTCACAGAGTTATATTTTTTTAATTGAGAAAAGGACATTTATTTAAAACCATAGGAATACATAATAAAATGAACTGAATTCATGACTACAATTTCTGTTTCGGAACTACTTGTTTTCTTACATAGAAAATCAGTTCATACTGAAAGTAGATTTTGCCACATGTTGAAAAGGTCATCCACTAATATTCCCCACAAGGATTCTTACCAATTTTGGTTTTAAGATACAATTTCTGACTAAACGTCTGGACAAAATGGCTACTTCTTATTTTCCAGCTGTACTTAATTCATTAGAAAAGAAATATTATCTTTTCAAGTTCAGCTTCTCACTCACAAATACCAAATAACTGTGAGCATGGAAGAGAATACCGAATGTTATGTGAACCTGTCTTGTAAGCTGCAGCCATGCACAAAGGCTAGTTATTCCCTCAAGGAGTTCTGCTCTCTATTCTGGGTTCCAGGCTTTACGTGGAAATCTGGGGACTCTACTTTCTCTTTCAGCTCGGTATCTCCTGTCTGCAACCTCTTTAACCAAATTCACAAAGAACGTTAAATACCAAAGACATTCAATACTCTCTCCCAGGGTTTTTGAAGTAAATTAAGTATGAGAAAGTAGCACATTTTTTTTCTTTTGAAAGTAGCACATTCTACATGGTGTTATGTATTCATAAACCTTACCTGAGGGTAGGGCTGCAAAATGTTCACCATCCTCTTGGGAATTATTCATTATTGCAGCTTCACTGGAATGCACTGTGGGCTCTTCTGTTTTAGCCTCTGATAACTTCAGGATTCCATGAAACAATAAAAAAAAAAAAAAATACAATTTAGATTCATTTTAATGAATTCACTACCTAAAGGATCGAAAAATATTACATATTTCTTTTTCTTTGTTTATTGTTTTTGAGACAGAGTCTCACTCTATCACCCAGACTGGAATAGAATGGCTCACGCCTGTAATCCCAGCACTTTAGGAGGCCAAATTGGGTGAATCATGAGGTCAGGAATTCAAGACCAACCTGACCAACATGGTGAAACCCTGTCTCTACTAAAAATACAAAAATTAGCTGGGCGTGGTGGTGGGCACCTGTAATCCCAGCTACTCGGGAGGCTGAGGCAGGAGAATCGCTTGAACCTGGGAGGCGGAGGCTGCAGTGAGCTGAGATTGCTCCACTGCACTCTGGCCTGGGCAACAGAACAAGAGTCAGTATGAAAAAAAAAAAAAAGTTGTTCTGTGAGTTACCAGGACAAAAATAAAGGGGAAAAAAGTATAAAAAGTTAAATACAAATGCTTAAACTTACCAAAAAAATGACTACTCTGAGGAATTATGTAGTTCCACATAAGTATAAATTTTAATAGAAAGAACTAGGTGTAAACTTAATAAGAGATAACAGCCATAAATATAAAATACTTTTGTTATATGTTCTGTAGGCACCTGTTTTTTCCTCTTCCTTTCTTCTTCCTGGTCATATTCCTCTTTTGATTTTCTGAAATATACAAAAATAAGGTAAAAAGTAATTTTCCTTTCTTTGGTCAAAGAACAAATATTCAACTAAGCAACATGCTAACCTAAGCTTACAATACAAGGCATATTAGACACAAAGATGGAAAATAATCAAGCCTTGCTCTAAAGTGGCTTACAGTCAACTGGGAAAGACACACATAGGCATACAGCATAATACAGTTCGTAACATAAAATACAGGTCTACCTATTTCTTCTAGAACTCCAAATGAACAAAGATCAACAGATTTGAAATCCTAAACCCAATTTGAATGGCAAATCTCATTAATAAGGACTTCAATCACCCTCTTTAGAGAGATCAATTACACCCCTCTTGGTAAGAGCCATTACGCCCCTCTTAATAAAATGCCGTTGTTCTGGTGACATCTGAGCTATCACCAAGCACTCGTGATACCATTGTCCCAAAGCCTATCGACTTTTGTAAACTGCTCACTGAGACAAGCTGATTTTGGAAAGTAACCAAGTTCAACTGTTATACATGTTCACAACTAAGTTCTATTACTTACGCAGTAGTATATCCCATCAAAAGCTCTTAGGAAATAAAATCTTAAAAATACAGTGCTGACCAGTTTTCAGGCCACCAATCAACCAACACAACCAGTCCAAATCAAAACTTTACCAGTCCTTTGAACCAAAAACCCTTACCTCTCAAACCTTAAACTCATAGCATTCTGTGTCATCTCAGGCTCCCATTTGCCCCTGCCATCCAAAGAAGGATCTGGCAAGAAAGGGTTTAGTTCACCAGCGTATCTGCCACCCTCTCCATAATCACTCAAACTCCCTGAAATTAAGTACCGAGCTCCTGCCATAGTTTCCCACCAGGCCCATCCTCCTATCCTCTCTTCTGCTTTGGAGGTGGGACAAAGTTCCTAAGTGGGGAACTACAGGATGCTAGACAATGGTCATGTGTGGTAGTATGGTTGGAGAAGTGGTGACCCCAAAGGCCTAGGCCATAGTCTGCAGGTGACACCGTGATTATAGCATCCTTTTGCCCTAAACCTAATATGTTCTCACAGGAGATTTAAAAATTAGGAGCTACTACTGCTCCTTCCTTCCAATATTCCCCTAAAGGTCAGGGCACGACAGGCTCAAAAGAAAAAGGAATGTCCCTTAACCTTTATTAGTTCTGTGTGGACCCCCGTATTGGTCTGCACACTCCTTGCCAGGCATTTGGCTGAGAATTATATAACTGGGGAGACAAAGAGAATGGCAAGACACTCATCTGGGAGAGATGCCTCTCACCGTCCTCTCTCTCTTGCAGGTTACTATCACCAAGTTGGCTATTCAATCTGTGGAGTCTAGATGCCCAGCCTCCTACCATGTGACACCTAGAATATGCCACCTCCATCGTGAGATCCAAAAGCCATAGAGTTTTCTGCTTAGCTCAAGTCATTATGCCTCTCTCCAGAGATCAGCCTGGGTCTACTGCAACTTTTCCCATTGGTGGCTACTTTCCTATTCCTATAATGGGGGTGTGAAAAGACCCTCTCATTTGGACTGAAAATAACTTTTTTTGTCATTAAGAAATACATTCACAGTCATATAATGATAAATCATTTTTATGGTCTTCAGTGGAGAATTCAGCAATTTTATTAGTTCATATTTGTCAGGCAAAAGCATATGTACAGATCATACAATATGACTAATGATTCATTTAAAAAATAATTAGAGATTGGTACCTAAGAACTTCCCTCAGAATTTTCATCTCTTCCTGTTGAAGGTCACTGACCACATCAGAGCCATCTGTTAAGCAGTCAGGTAATACACCTGTTTGAAACCAAAGACCACATGGAATAGTAACAACTCAACTGAAAACATCGATTTCTCATTGTTCTAGTTCCTTAAGTAGAAATTAACTTCAGATCTATCACTGTAACTTCCTAAGGTATTATCTTTTTAACTATCATCTTTTATTTTTTATTTATTTTTTAATTTCTTTTCTTGAGACAGACTCTCTGTCTGTCACCCAGGCCAGAGTGTAGTGGCGTAATCTCAGTTCACTGCAACCTCTGCCTCCCAGATTCAAGCAATTCTGCCTCAGCCTCTGGAGTAACTGGGATTAAAGCCACCCACCACCATGCCCAGCCAATTTTTAAGTAGAGATGGGGTTTCAACATGTCAGCCAGGCTGGTCTTGAACTCCTGACCTCAAGTGATCTGCCTGCCTCGGCCTCCCAAAGTGCTAGGATTACAAGCATAGGCCACCATTCCCAGCCTATTTTAACTACCATCTTTTAAGCCTTTTTTTATTTTACAGAATAAGTCCTACCAAAAACCCCACACTTTTAACTAGAAATATCTCTTAGTAATTATTTTATTGTCAATTAAAATAACAATGTGTGGCAACAAACATTTGTTAATATGATTTTCTCTTCCATAATCATATAGTGTCTGAGAATATACCACGGAAATCATTGAGTTAGGCTTAATAATGAAACTGATCTCAAAGGTGCCCCTTAAATGAGAAGAGTCACAAAATAAAATGTGATTTTGTTAATTGAAATAACATTAAAACTCTTCATTCATATTTTAACAGATGCTATTGAAAAGGGCCCTGCTTACTATGTGCAATAAAAGCATGGTGCTAAGCACTTTGGGGGACTACAAAGATGAATAAAATGATCTCTGCCCTTGAAGCTTCTGTTCAGATATTGGTCTAATAATTATAAACCAGGGAAGTAGCAGCTTCAGCCCAAGAAAATAAAAAGTAACTTAAAATATTGGTTTAATTTACTTTATTATCTTTTCTTCCTGCAAAGAAGGTGGATTGGTAATAATTGTTCTGTTTGTATCTATAATTATTACATTCCAAAACATTAGCAGAATGCTGCTTAATTTTTACCTTCCACTTCTTTATCCACATATGACTGTGGGACTTTGGATCCACTCTAAAACAGCTTTATTACTCTAATCCTCCTCATGTTTAAATACGTTTTTAAAAGTTAAATGTTTTCTTTTGAGGTAAATGCAATTGTAAGAAATAATGCAGAAAGCTGCTATGTACTCTTTACCCAGTTTCCCCAAGTGATAACATCTTACGAAACTATAGTAGTACAATATCACAACCAGAAAATTGACATCTGAATAATCCATCAATCTTAAGTGCATTTTTGCTCAGTCAAAAGATACACATTATTCTAATCATCTTTCTAAGGAAACTGAAAGTACTAAGAATAACACAACAGTATAAAGTACTTAAAAACCATCAAAGTAGGCTGGGCGCGGTGGCTCATGCCTGTAATCCCAGCACTTTGGGAGGCCGAGGCAGGTGGATCACGAGGTCAAGAAATCGAGACCATCCTGGTCAACATAGTGAAACTCCGTCTCTACTAAAAATACAAAAAATTAGCTGGGCATGGTGGCGCGTGCCTGTAATCCCAGCTACTCAGGAGGCTGAGGCAGGAGAATTGCCTGAACCCAGGAGGTGGAGGTTGCGGTGAGCTGAGATCATGCCATTGCACTCCAGCCTGGGTAACAAGAGCAAAACTCCTTCTAAAAAAAAAAAAAAAAAAAAAACCATCAAAATAATACTCTCATTTGCATTTTCTCCAAATTCTTTAGTAAGGTACAACCAAGAATCCAGAGAGCCTTTGATTTTTTTTCTCATCATTAGGACTATTTTCAAATAGTCTGCAGTTTTGAGTATAATCGACATTAAGGTACTCGCCCCTGGATCTCAGTTAGACAACATTCTTTCTTTCTCTCTTTCTTTTATTATTTTAGTTTTGAGACAGGGTCTTACTCTATTGCCCAGGCTGGCATGCAGTGGGGCTGTCATAGCTCACTGCCGCCTCAAACTTCTGGGCTCAGGCAATCCTCCTGCCTCAGCCTCTGAAAGCACTGGGGCCACAGGCATGAGCCAACTGTGCCTGGCCAGCAAAACTCTTAAACACATGTATTAGAAATTCTGTAGCAGAAACTAAGTTATTAGTTTATGTTTAAATGTAAGTAAAATGCCTCATGCTGTGGTCTGACCACAGTCATTATTCTACATCATTCCCCTTCTCCTCCCTTGCTAATAGAAGCCAGCTTTTGCAGAATTATCAGATAGCTAAGTACTTAGAGGCAGGGCCCTCCCCAGCCCAGGACAGTGACCCCTAATTGGTTCAAGTCAATCATAATGATCTAATTCCCCTTGCCAGATGGTTTAAGAAAAGCAAGTGACCTGAACCGTAATCAATAGGAACGCTTCCATGAAATTGTTGTCTTGCTAACAAAAAGAGATATACAGGAGGATGTACTATTCCATTTCTTCATAAGACATTGTTAAGTCTGCATTCAGTCTAGCCAAAGTATAATCATGAGAGAAGATCCTGAGAATGGCACAGTATAAAGATGCAAAGTGTCAGGGTCCTTGATTACATCACTGCATCACTGAGCCACTATGTTCATCAACTCTGAACCTGCCTTCCTTCTCTCCCTTCCTCTGGACTTCTTGTTCTGAAAGATGTTTTTTTCATTGGGGTGTTCTGTTACTGACAGCCTGAGGCATCCACATGATACAAGATACACATTTATTCCCTTTTTATTAAAACCTAAATGAGTTTCCAATTAAATTCCAAACTGAAAACTATAGAATGCCAGCGTCAAGTACACTATGGCTTCTCCTGATCCCCTAAAAATTTTTTTTTACTAACACACTTCTTAAAATTCTCTAACCCACAAGTTAGAATGAAGCATAGTTTTCAGGAAAATTCAGAGGAAAGGATTTTATAGAGCAAATCACAGTAGAAAGACACAGACTATTTTCCAAACTTATTTACATGGAAGTAATAGCACTGTGATGTATTCTTCAGGGCTAGGGTGGTGTTCTCCCCCTACCCACAGACAACAGTTCTATTAGTTACTGGGGAAAGCATCTTGGGAGTCTAGTAGATGATTATGATGGTGGCTGGCTCTAAGAGTCTCTACTCACATCAGTCAAGTGAGAAGTAAACTCCTCAAGAAGGGCTCTGCAAAATTCTCATGTTTGCCATGCAACAACAGAAGCCCTATTGTTTCACATTCCAGGCCCTTAAGAGCAAACGATGCAACTGAACTATAGATCTCACATCTTCAAGAAACAATCAAAGGAAAGGTCCTGCTGCCAAATCATTAAAGAGATTATGGGCCATGGTAAAAAGTATCATGGCCATCTACTGAGCTAAGGAAGATATAGAAATTAAGGTGAGGTTACCATAGCAAGAAATGTGAAACAGAAATGATAATACAGGTTAGAAAGAGATGATAATCTGGGTACAATAACAAGCAGCATGGTTAAAAACTCAGTTGTTTTGAGTCAGGATGTTAAATGTAGTTCAGGCACACAAGAAAGGAACAAGAGCAGGAAGAGCTAAAGAGAAAATGAGCTTGACACAGAGTCAGGGAAAGATAAAGCCAATGAGGGTCAATAGGGCTTTGAGTTCCATTTTTCTCTTCCACATGATGCTGGTACAAGCATATCTGTCTCTGCCCAGTGCCCTAGAACAGTAGGTGTCAGTATGGTCCCAGGACCAGCAGCTTCAGCATCACCTGGAAACTTGTTTGTGTTACTCTGTTTTCATGCTGCTGATAAAGACATATCCAAGACTGGGCAATTTACACAGGAAACAGATTTAACCAGACTTACATTTCCACATGGCTGGGGAAGCCTAACAATCATGATAGAAAGCAAGGAGGAGCAATCACCTCTTACATGGATGGCAGCAGGCAAAGAGAGAGCTTGTGCAGGAAGACTCCCACTTTTCAAAACCATCAGATCTCATGAGACTTATTCACTATCATGAGGACAGCATGGGAAAGACCTGCCCCCACGATTCAATTATCTCCCAGTGGGTTCTTCCCACAACACGTGGGAATTCAAGATGAGATTTGGATGAGGACACAGCCAAACCATATCACTGTTAAAAATGCAAATTATCAATACCCCAGACCTATTAAATCAGAAACTGGGAGGCAGCCATATGTGCTTCAGCAAGCCCTCCAACCATTTCCAATGCTTGCTGAGGCTTAAGAACCACTGCTTCATACAAAGGTCCTAACAATCATACGCCAGAAGAAGGATGAACACCTCTCAACAGTAACTACCACTATGACCACTTAAAAATACTTAATTTCATAAACATAATGGCTGGGCAGAAAATCAAACTCTGTGAAATCCAAAGTATCATGGAATTCTGGTCTCCTTTTTTTGGGATGTCAAATATAGATCAGGAAGCTTACTCTTAAATCTCAAGTCAGCTAAAGTCTTTCAAACTTGAAATAAATGTACACAAGGTGGCTACATTTAAGACCATATTAAAATTAGAATAGTCAAAACTGTAAACAAAAATACATTTAGCACTTAGATTTCTAACTTCAATATTTTACCATTTCTCTCTTGAATTATGCGAATGGCTTGCAGCTGCATTTCAATGTTTTTCTGGACCATCATTGCTTTAAAGATAGTAAAATCTTCTGCTGCCAACACAGGTTGCAAAATGGCCTGTAGAAAGAAGTCTCAAGTGAAATGAAGATTCAAATTTTAAAATTATTTCCCACACATTCAAATCATTTCCACTGCAAAACCGTAGATTAATTCAAGAATGCTACCTTATTGTGTATGACTAGATGTCTCAAAAGGACAATTTAAAATTTTGACTTTAAAAACAGGGTCCTTGGCCAGGCACACTGGCTCATGCCTGAAATCTCAACACTTTGGGAGGCTGAGGTGGGCAGATCACTTGAGGTCAGGAGTTCAAGATTAGCCTGGTCAACATGGTGAAACCCTGTCTCTACTAAAAAAATACAAAAATTAGCTGGGTGTAGTGGCATGCTCCTGTAGTCCCAGCTTCTCAGGAGGCTAAGATGGGAGAATCACTTGAACCAGGAGACAGAGGTTGCAGTGAGCCAAGATCACGCCTCTGCGTTCCAGCCTGGGTGGTGGAGTAAAACTTCAACTCAAAAAAAAAAAAAAAAAAAAGTTTTCAGAAGAATGAATATTATGGTATGCAAATTATATCTCAATAAAGTTGTTTAAAAAGAAAGCTGGAGTAGCTCAATTTAATTTCAGATAAGGTAAACCTCAGAACAAGAAAGATCAGGAATAAAGAGGGGCATGTGTTTATAATTCTATAACATATAATACTTTATGATTATTCTATGATTATATATTTTATATATAGTATAATTATATAATTCCTTATAATTCTATAAAACAAAAATTGTGGCCAGTCGCGGTGGCTCATGCCTGTAATCCTAGCGATTCGGGAGGCCGAGGTGGGTGGATTACCTGAGGTCAGCAGTTTGAGACCAGCCTGGCCAATATGGTGGAAGGTATGTATCACCATGCCCTGCTAATTTTTTTTTGTATTTTGTAGAGATGTAGTTTCACTATGTTGCCAAGGCTGGTCTCAAACTCCTAGGCTCAAGCAATCTGCCCACCTTGGCCTCCCAAAGTGATTGGGATTATAGGCATGAGTTACCATGCCTGGCCCACATGTGTTTTTTAGAGTGTGTTGTTTAATCTCCAAGTATTTTGGCTTTTCCCAACTATCTTTTGTTATTTTTTTCCACTTTAATTAGGTTGTGGTCTGAAAGCAGACACTGTATGATTTCCATTTTAAATTTGTTGAGATGTCTTTTATGGCCCATAATGTAATCTGTCTTGACTATTCTGTGTGATCTTGAGAAGAATGTATATTTTTGGTTGCTGGATGAAGTGGTGTATAAATCTCCATTAAATTCAGCTGACTGAAGCTACTGTTTGTTTGTTTATTTATTTATTTATTTATTTATTTAGAGATGGAGTCTTGCTCTGTCACCCAGGCCAGAGTGCAGTAGTGCAATTTCGGCTCACTGCAACCTCCACCTCCCAGGTTTAAGCAATTCTCCTGCCTCAGCCTCCCGAATAGCTGGGATTACAGGCACCTACCACCAAGCCAGGCTAATTTTTATATTTTTAGTAGAGACAAGGTTTTACCATGTTGGCCAGGCTGGTCTCAAATTCCTGACCTCAAGTGATCCGCCCATCTCAGCCTCCCAAAGTTCTAGGATTACAGTCATGAACCACCACCGTGCCCAGCCTGAAGGTGCTGTTTAGTTCAACTATGTCTTTACTGATTTTCTAGCTACTGGATCTGTCCAATACTGACAGAGGGTGCTGAAGTCTCCAACTATAATCATGTATTAATCTATTTCTCCTTGCAGTTCCATTTCTGCCTCACACATTTTGTTGCTTTGTTATTAGGTGCATACATATTAAGGATTGTTATGTCTTCTTGGAAATCGCCAGATTTTTTCACATAATGTGGGCATACCAATAACATCTAAATTATCTTATTATTTTTTTTTTAGAGACAGGGTCTCACTTAGCAGGCCAGGTTGGAGTACAGTGGTGCAGTCATAGCTCACTGCAAGCCTCAAATTTTTGGGCTCAAGCAATCCTCCCACCTCAGCCTCTCAAGTAGCTAGGACTACAGGAGTGTGTCACCATGCCCAGCTAATTCTTGTATTTGTATTTTTTTGTAGAGATGGGGTCTTGCTCTGTAACCTAGGGTGGTATCGAGCCCCTGTCCTAAAGCAATACCCCATGCCTTGGCCTCCCAAAGCAGTGGGATTACAGGTATGAGCTATCACACCAGCCAAAATACAGTGGCTCATACCTGTAATCTCAGAGCTTTGGGAGGCTGAGGCAGGAGGATTGCTTGATGCCAGGAGCTCAAGACCAGCCTGAGCAACACAGCACAACCCCCTTTCTACAAAAAAAACAAAAAATTAGCCAGGCATAATGATGCACACATATAGTATTAGCTACTCAGGAGGCTGAGGCAGGAGATTCACTTGAACCCAGGAGTTAGAGGTTGCAGAGAGCTATGTTTATACCATTGCAGTCCAGCCAGGGTGGCAGAGCAAGACCTTGTCTCAAAAACAAAAACAAAAAGATTTTCTATTCCTAGAATTAAAGGTGATCATCAAATGAAAAGCTGTACAAAAGAGGAAGTGCTGGGTTAAAAAGTAGTCAAGACAACATCTTCTAGGTGATAATAACAAGATAATTTAAATTAATAAACATTTATTGAGAACTACATACCAGAAACTAAGTCTTCATCTCTGTTCTACCAGCAGGGAGTGCAAAGATACTAAAAACAGCTCAAAGGACTTACAATCTAGTAGGGCAAATGGACTTGTAGGAAACTGTAATTCAAGGCAGAATAACAAAAATATCAATTTAAAATTGGCCTAGTTAAGTAGAATGAACTCTGTTCTGATTAGAATAAACAGCAAAGCTGCTGTAACAAGTAGCAATTCAACCAGGTCCTGATGATGAGGATTTCTGCACGTGATGAAAGGAATGATGGAGTAGTCTGAGGAGGGGACCACAGATTCCCGGTTAAGGGACAGCATGAGCAAAGCTAGGAGCACAGATGCGCATAAGAGCAAGTGACCTGGAATGGCAGTAGAGCATAATACATTGGAGAACTACAGCAAAAAATCATGGCTAACATTAAAATCTGGAGTCTTATCTTAAACAATTCTTACCATATCTTGCTAGCTAAGAAATTACAGTTTATTTGGTAGAAGATAAGATGCCAAAGCTAGTGTTTTGTTTCTCAGGGATGGGTCTCAATCTGTTGTCCAGGCTGGAGAGCAGTGGTACCATCTTGTCTTACTGCAGCGTCGACCTCCTGGGCTCAAGTGATGCTCCTGCCTCAGCCTCCTGAGTAAGGGGACTATGGGAGAACACACCATAACTGGCTAACGTTTGTATTATTTTTAGAGTTGGGGGTCTCACTATGTTGCCCAGGCTGGTTTCAAACCCCTGGCCTTAAGCAATCCTCCTGCCTTGGCCTCCCAAAGTGCTGGGATTATAGGCATGAGTCACTGCCTGGCCTTTAGTTTTTGAGCAGAAGGCTACTTGGATACTAGCAACATATCCCAGTCCTCACCCTCTTAGCAAGGGCACTCAGTTGGCTTGCCTTGGCTGGGGATACTGGCTCTACTATTTACTTAGCTGTGGACTTTGGACTATTAGCTTAATATCTCTGTGCTTTGGTTTCCTCATTTCTCAATGGAAGTTATATAGTACCAATTTCTTAAGAGTGTTAGAAAGATTAAATGAGAGAAAACATGTCAAGTGCCTAAAATATCAACTAGCATAAGCCCTCAATAGATACTAGTTTATAGGCTGCATGTGGTGGCTCATGTCTGTAATCTAGCACTTTAGGAGGCCAAAGTGGGCAAATCGTTTGAGCCCAGAGTTCAAGACCAGCCTGGGAAACATAGCAAGACCCTGTCTCTAAAAAAAATACAAAAATTAGCCAGGTGTGCTAGCGCAGTACCTGCAGTCTGAAGTGGGAGGATTAGCTGAGCCCAGGAGGTTGAGCCTACATTGAGCTGCAATTGTACCACTACACCTCAGCCTGAGCAACAGAATGAGACTCCATCTCAAAAACGACAACAAAAACAAACAGTTTATAAACATATGTATCACTACTTCAGCCTAGCACTACACAACCAGTAAGATAATAAAAGTAGTTCTAAGAGAAGGAGGCTGCAGGAACTACTGACTGTGGATCTGCTAAAATTATAAAAGGAACAACTACAGAATTATCAGAGATCTATGTAAATAAAACAGCAGTTTGTATAATCCCTGTGATCTTATTCTGGTTCTGAGTTTAGAAAGGTCACTTTGAATTGTATCAGTTCATTTATGCCTCAAATTATCATATTTCAGGGTTGCTGTCAAAAAGAACTCATATATGAATTATCTTTCCACCTCTCACAATGTCTAAAATATTACTTGTCAATCAAACATTCAAATTTAAGTGAAACCCTGGGCATTTTTGTTAAAACTGTATGTTAGCAGACTAATACAAAGCAAAAACCTGTGATGTATGGGTCTTCGCAAGAGGAGAAGTGCATGCTTGTTGAAATTGATCTTCATTAATTCCAATTTCTTTAAGGTAACTTTCTAACAGCTTTTCAACCTAAAAAGACAAAGTTTCACTGTTATAATTACATAGAAAAGTTCTACATGACAGTTTGCATATTAAGTATTGAGTTTAGAAAAGTATAATCAAATTTTTTGCAAATATTAATCTACATAATATTATATTACATGGCAGTGACATTGTCTGTCTTCCACCAAAACACAAATTAAAAGTTAGTACTTTTGCAGAAAATCACATGAAACTGTATTTCTTCTAATAGAAATAGTTGAAGTCAGGATTACGACATTCAGTGTGGCACAACTCTTCTGCTACCCAGAGGCATTTTTTTTCTTCTTTTCTTTCCTTTCTTTTTTGAGATGGAGTCTCACTCTGTCACCCAGGCTGGAGGGTGGTGGTGCGATCTTGGCTCACTGCAACCTCTGCCTCCCAGGCTCAAGTGATTCCCCTGCCTCAGCCTCCTGAGTAGCTGGGACTACAGGGAGGCTGTATCACAATGCCAGCTAATTTTTTTATTTTTTTTTTAGTAGAGACAGGGTTTTGCCATGTTGGTCACGCTGGTCTCTAATTCCTGACCTCAGGGTATCCGCCCACCCCAGCTTCCCAAAGTGCTGGGATTACAGGCATAAGCCACCACGCCTGGACTTCTTTTTTTTTGAGACAAGGTCTTACTCTCTTGCCCAAACTAGAGTACAGTGGCACAGTAATGGCTCACTGCAGCCTTGACCTTCTGGGCTCAAGAGATCCATCTTCCCACCTCAGCTTCTCACGCAGCTAAGACTAGAGGCGCATGCCATCATGACTGGCTAATTTTTGTAATTTTTATAGAGATGGAGTTTCACCATGGTGCCCAGGCTGGTCTCAAACTCCTTGGCTCAATCAATCTACGCGCCTCAGCCTCTCTAAGTGCTGGGATTAGAGGTGTGAGCCACTGCGCCTCACTGCCAGAGGCCTTTTTTAAAATTACATGACAGGACACACGCGGTGGCTCACATCTGTAATCCCAACACTTTGTGAGGCCTAGGCAGGCAGATCGCTTGAGCTCAGGAGTTCGACACTAGCCTGGGAAACATGGTGAAACCCCATCTCTACAAAACACAAAAAAATTAGCAGGGAGTGGTGGTGCATGCATGTGGTCCCAGCTACTCAGGAGACTGAGATGGGAGGACTGCTTGAGCCTGGGGAAGCTGAGGCTGCAATGAGCTGTGATAGTGCCATTGCACTCCAGCCTGGGTGACAAAGCAAGACCCTGTCTCAAAAATAAAAAAATAAAGGACAACCATGACTAAGTGACTAACTAATATGACCCTGGATGCATCAACAAAATAAGAATAAAATATAAAGAATACATGCAAGAACCCATAAAGAGTTGTAAAACCATTCCTTAGATTTAAGAGCAGAGGAGATAAGAAGTCATAAAAATGAGATGCTCAGAGAACCTGTGGAGACAGATATAACAGGCACTATTGTTAAGGTAGACTGGATTTTTGTAAAATTCAGGATTTTTAACGAAAAAAAAATTTCTTCATTTAGAAAAGCTGTAAGTAATGTTAGCCTAATTACCTTTAAAAATCAGTGAAAAAAAATACTCACTAGTTCTTTGTATTCCTGATGAATCTCTGTGTAGGTCAATTTGCTTTCTTCTTCATCATCAAAAACTAAATTTAAAAGAAAATATTACATAGTGTTAAAAATCATTTTATTACTGCAAATACAAAAATCCACTTCTTACAAATAGAACTGTCATTCCTATAGCCTAGCTCTTCAGCTTTGAATTCTTAGGGATTATCTTTAAAAAATATATAAATGAATATATCTAAAAATATATACCATTGGCCAGGCGCAGCAGCTCCCACCTGTAATCTCAGCACTTTAGGAGGCCGAGGCAGGTGGATCACCTGAGATCAGGAGTTCAAGACAAGCTTGGTCAACGTGGTGAAATCCTGTCTCTACTAAAAATACAAAAATTAGTTAGGCGTGGTGGCAGGCACCTGTAGTCCTAGCTACTTGGGAGGCTGAGGCAGGAGAATTGCTCAAACCCAGGAGGTGGAGGTTGCAGTGAGCTGAGATCGAGCCATTGCACTCCAGCCTGGGTGACGGAGTGAGACTTTGTCTCCAAAACAAAACAAAACAAAAAATATACATATAGACACACATATATATTTTATATATATACCTATATATACTATCAATTGTATATATATATATATATAATATATAGTGTGTATATATATATACTATTAATTGTAAACAAGCTTTTTTGCCTACTTGAGAAAATATTTAAAATGAATACTATCTCATATTTAAGACCAAAAACACATTTCAATCAATATGAGAAAATATTTCTTCATAACTTTTAATGCAATATTCTTGTTAATGGTTAAGTCCTTTTACAATAGGCTCCAATTATTTTACTGTACTGGAATTTTGCTGACGTAAATGTTACTGAAAGTGACCAGGCCATTTTTGTTACTACAGATAAATAATGAAGTTAAATAACATCAAAACAGGTGTTTACTGAATGATCATATGTATAAAATGATGTAGATTAGAAAAATAAATATTCTCTCAAGAAGCTATAATCTAATCAGGGAAACAGGACAAACTTGGGAATTGCAAACAATAAATATTTTTTTAATTCCTCCAGGATGATCTTTCTAAAATGCAAAACTAACTTCTGCAATTTTCGGTTTAAACTCTTCAACAAGTGCTCATTGCCTAGAGAAAAAGTGCAAAATCCTTAGAAGGCCAGACAAGACCCTCCGCAATTAGATTTCATCTCATTTCCCACAACTCTGAAACTCAAACCTTACACTCCTAACAACACACAACTACTTGAAACATCGCCAAATAAAACACACACCACTTCAAATTGCCATGCCTTTGTTCAAGCTGTTCCTTCTTCTTTTTTGCATTTACTTTACCCCCATCCCCCCTCTCTCCCGATCATTCTTAAGAATTTTACCAAGTGGCATATTCTCCGTGACCTGCTACTCACTCCCAACCCCTAGGCTGGCTAGATCACTTCCTCTGAATTCGCACTGTACAGCACCATGTACCTACCCTTATTATAACACCTGCCACTTTGTATTTTATTCTGTTTATCTGCTTGTCTTCCCCACTACACTATAAATTTCTCAAGGACAGGATTCCATTGCATTCATCCTTCTAGCCTCAGCTTAGCCCAATGACATTTTCAATAAATATTTGTTGAAATAAAAGTTGATGTCACAAGGCTGAATAAAACTAATCTTTAGGCTGGGCACAGTGGCTCACGCCTGTAATCCTAGCACTTTGAGAGGCTGAGGTGGGTGGATCACCTGAGGTCAGGAGTTCAGGACCAGCCTAGCCATCATGGTGAAACCCCATCTTAATAAATAAATAAATAAATAAATAAAAAACTAATCTTTAAATCTGAGGTAGAGAACAGCATATAGGCAACCCCGAGACAATGAACTATAAACAATTATTTCAAGTGTCACTGGCATGTCACTTGTTTATCCTGGCATCTGCTCTATGTAACACTGCACATATAAGCAATATAGTGGGTACTTAATACAGCAGCTAATTCTGAAACCAAATCACCACTGTACATGTTCATAAGGCTTAGATTACTGCTTCTCTGTAAAATTATACAATCAGGTATGTTATTACTGAGATACATTCACTTTTGACATTTAGGGATAGAAAGATGGACAATGCTTTAATTTTTTTCCATTTCAGCATTTGGTCTCAGTGGGGTAAATGGAATCAAAGGGTGACATAATTTCTTCTTCTAAATGAGGTCAAATTCCACATGCCTTATCAGTCTCACAATAGCATTTTCAGTTTTTGGGGTTTTTTTTGAGTCTCACTCTGTTGCCCAGGCTAGAGTGCAGTGGTGTGATCTCAGCTCACTGCAACCTCCACCTCCCAGGTTCAAGAAATTCTCCTGCCTCAGCCTGCCCAGTAGCTGGGATTACAGGCACACGCCACACACCCAGCTAATTTTTATATTTTTAGTAGAGACAGGGTTTCACCATGTTGGTCAAGCTGGTGTCGAACTCCTGACCTCGTGATCCACCCGCCTTGGCCTCCCAAAGTGCCAGGATTACAAGCATGAAACACCGTGCCCAGTCTTTTTTTTTTTTTAAAGAAATGAGTCTCAGGCACCCATGCTGCAGTGCAGTGGCACGATCATCATTCACCGCAGCCTCAAACTCCTGGACTCAAGTGATCCATCTAAGCCTCCTGAGTTGCTGGGCATACAGGTGCAAGTGACCTGGCCGGTTAAAAACATGTCAACTTTTTTTTTTTCCAGACAGTGTCTTGCTCTGTTGCCCAGGCTACAGTGCAGTGGTGTGATCTCGGCTCACTGCAACCTCCTGGATTCAAGTGATTTTCCTGCGTCAGCCACTGTCTTTAAAAAAAAAAAAAGACTGGGCACGGTGTTTCATACTGGAGTAGCTGGGATTACAGATGCACACCACCATGCTCGGCTAATTTTTTTTTTTTTTTTGAGATAGAGTCTCGCTTTGTTGTCCAGGCTGGAGTGTAGTGACAAGAACTAGGCTCATGGCAACCTCTGCATCCCGGGTTCAAGTGAGTCTCCTGCCTCAGTCTCCCAAGTAGCTGGGACTACAGGCTCGCACCACCACATGGCTTTTTTGTATTTTTAGTAGAGGCAGTGTTTCATCATGTTGCCCAGGCTGGTCCCAAACTCCTGACTTTAAGTGATCTGCCTACCTCAGCCTCCCAAAGTGCTCCAATAACAGGCGTGAGCCATCCTGCCACATTTCAACTTCTTAAAAGGAGTACACCAGAATTTTCGGAGGCCAAGGTGGGCAGTTAACAAAGTCAATAGATGGAGACCATCCTGGCCAACATGGTGAAACCCCATCTCTACTAAAAATACAAAAATTAGCTGGGTGTGGTGGTGTGCGCCTGTAGTCCCAGCTACTTGAGAGGCTGAGGCAGGAGAATCACTTGAACCCCGGAAGGAGAGGTTGCAGTGAGCCAACATCAATCACGCCACTGCACTCCAGACTGGCGACAGAGCGAGACTCCGTCGCAAAATAAAAAGGGGTGGGTACAGGCCGGGCACAGTGGCTCATGCCTGTAATCCCAGCTCTTTGGGAGGCCGAGGCAGGTGGATCACTTGAGGTTAGGAGTTCTAGACCAGTCTGGCCAACATAGCGAAACCCCATCTCTACTAAAAATACAAAAATTAGCCGGGTGTGGTGGCGCACTTCTGTAATCCCAGCTACCAGGGAGGCTGGGGCAGGGAATCACTTGAACCCTGAACCTGGGAGACAGAAGCTGCAGGGAGCCAAGATCACACCACTGCACTCCAGCCTGGGCAACAGAGTGAGACTCCGTCTCAAAAACAAACAAACAAAAAGGAGTACAAATAGCAGTTATCTTGTTTTTGAACACTGTTAAAAAATTACCTGTAAAAACAATACTTCAATAACTATGATTTGAATTTTGATTATAGCAATGAAAATGTAATTAAAAGATTCAGTAGTCAAAGTGAATTTCATCTTTACAAGATTCATGATACCTTGGAATTTAAAGAAGTCTTAAAAGGTCATCCATGATAACCGACCATTTGATAGCTGAATAACTGAATCCCTCTAACCCTATTAAGTCACTGTCAGATCCATTCAAACACTGCTGGAGCCAGGAAGCTCATTACCTTCTGAGGCTGGCTAACTCATCTTGGATATATTGTCATGAAGCACTTCCTTCACTGATATTTCTTTACCCGTAGCTTGTACCAACTGACCACTGAACCAACTCTATTCCACTGAACCTTACAACACAAAACAGATGTTTCAGTAATTGATGAATATTACTACCCTCAAAGTCTTGCCCGACTGAACAACCACAGTAACGCTTGGGCATTCATTTATATGACGTGATTTCTGGTTCCTTTTCTGCGAATGGACTGCAAATCGTCTCCACGAACTGAATGCAGAACTCGAAGCGTGAACTGCTCAGAACCCGGAGGTGCCTGTCCCTCACAGGGAATATTATACCACATCTATATGCCTCATTTGTTCCAAGAATAGTTCCCCGGCCCCACCTGGCAAATTTTTGGTATAGCCAAGAGTAGAGAGCTCTCCAAGGGGAATGCAGGCCACCAAAATCACCGGCTGTGGGCTTCCTGGAGTAATCACACACCCTCCTTTGCAGTCAACTGTTGGTTTGGAGTGAATAATTTCTCATTTCTTAAGCTGACTACACAGGGCCAAATGCTAAGGATCGGATCGTAAGTAACTCAGGTAAACCGACGCTTCTCCTCTCAAGTCTGGTAATCTGTTGAAGCCCAGCCAGAGTCCACCTGCCCAGGGCAGAAACGTGCGGGACAAAGTAAGAGACCTAATTTACGATTAAAGTCTAACATTCTTCGGACGTGTGCTTGGGCCTCGGGAAAGGAGAGTCTCGGTCCCCAGGTTCAGGTCTGGGAAGGAGCACATTAGCAGGGCGAAAGGAACTCCTCCCGCATAACCAGCTCTAAACCTAGTGAGAGGGGTGGGGGCGGGGGGGATAAAAATGATTTGTGGTTACCAGCCCCCTGCCCGCCGCTGGTGTGAGAGAGGAGAAAACGACTGTCGGTTCGGGCTCTGGTTTTTACCTTCACATTTCTGCTCCACAAAGTCCAAGATGGGGATGGACCAATCCGGGCCTCGCAGGAACCCTGCGATACTCTCCACCACCCACTCCACCTCGTCCTCTTCTTCCGTAGCCATCCCGCCCCAAAGGGGCCACGGGAATCCCTAGGCCAGACCGCCGGAGCCCGCTTAAGCCCTGGGGCCACAGGGAGCCGAGAGGGAGTAGGGGAAGCGCTAGCCCGCAGTCGCTCTGCCCCCAGGCTAGAAGCTACCAACCAGTTAACGCAAAATGGTCTCTATGACAACACACGTAGCTGCCCTAGACCGCGGCCCGGAAGTGAATGCCGCTTTCCAGGAGCCTGCGTGCTTAAGAGGGCGGGCAAACGTTTGAAAAACGCCTCTGATTGGCTGAAAGAGAACGGTGGCGTCAAAAGAAAGCCATCTACCTATTGGTCCATAGTTGTAGGGCTGAGAAAAGAAATGTAACCATTGGCTGGAAGTCATAGACAGATTCTCCGCACTCTCTCTCCTGAGAAGTGCGTAGGGGCCGAGATTTAGAAAAGGCGCAGTGGCAGCGAACTGCGTCTCACACCGGTAATCCTGCGCTGTGGGAGACTGAGGCGGGCAGATCAGCTGAGGTCATGAGGTCGAGACCAGCCTGGCCAACATGGTGAAACCTCGTCTCTACTAAAAATACAAAAATTAGCCGGGCGTGGTGGTGGGCGCCTGTAATCTCAGCTACTCCGGAGGCTGAGGCGGCGGTTGTAGTGAGCCGAGATTGCGCCACTGCACTGCAGCCTCTGAGACTGCGTCTAAAAAAAAAAAAAAAAAATGCCCAGTGAGGATGCGAGGTGACCGGGTCACCGACTGAAAGGGCTTCAGCGGCTACAGTTCATCATTGTATCCCCAGCCCCTCACTTCCAGCCATTTTCAGACCCATTGGCCCAGAAGCGTTTGTAATTAAAGGGTTGTCTGAAAATACAAAGCCAAGCTCTGTGAGACTCGCCGATTGTCTTACAGTCAGTTTGCATCTGGATCTCCAGCAGGTCTTTAACCTCTTACGCTTGGAAAAAGGTAACTAGAATTAGGAGCTTTTCAAGGGTAAGATCAAAGTTAATACATATTTAAATAAATGTCTTGGTAACCAAATCTTGTGTCGAATGTCTCCAACTCAGCTTTTGGGTTGAAGTCCATTGTGGAATGGGGTCTTCAATGGTCATTGTCAAGGTGTTTGGGGTCCCAAAATATCTTCAGCCAACCTTATACATATATTTACATAAATAGGATCACTATATGTACAGTTATGAAATCTTTTTCACTTATATCTTTATCTTTTAAAAGTATAAATTTGTGCTTTCTTTACAACTGCATAGTATTTCATAAAGCACCCTTTCTTTAGTCTATTTTTATTTCGTGAATGTGCACACATTATCTTACCTGAATACATGAAGATGATCATTATATGCAATTTTTTTTTTTTTAGTCGGAGTCTCCTTCTGTTGCCCAGGCTGGAGTGCAGTGGTGTGATCTTGGCTCACTGCAACCTTAGCCTCCTGGGTTCAAGTGATTCTCCGCCTCAACCTCCCGAGTAGTTGAATTACAAGGGCATGCCACCACACCCGCCTAATTTTTGTACTTTTAGTAGAGACGGGGTTTTGCCATGTTGACCAGGGTGGTCTCGAAATCCTGACCTCAGGTGATCCGCCCGCCTCAATTTGCCAAAGTGCTGGGATTACAGGTGTGAGGCACCGCGCCAAGACATGAGCAGTTTTCTTTCTTTTCCCTCCTCCATGCTGTGAATTTGCCATTTTTTGCTTCTACAAACTGCTGTTACAAATGTTGCATCCTAAGAACTGTTGGTTTTATTTACTATTCCAAGAGATAGATTCCAGCAGAAATGCTAAATGAAAGAATATATTGGTTAATATATTCTTTGGCTAATTAGACCAAACCTCAATTGCTACCTTAAATTACTTCAATTTTTTAAACCCATAAACAATTTTGTCATGAAAATTCTTGTACATATGTTTTTGAACCCTAGTCTCGTTATTTCCCTTGAACAAATTCTCAAGGGAAAATAACAGAACTAATTATTTTAAACCTTTTTAAAAATATAATCTTTGCCCATCTACTAGGTTAAAATGGTAGACCCCTCCCCCCCTTTTTTTTCTTGAGACAGAGTCTTGCTCTGTCACCCAGGCTAGAGTACAGTGGGGAGATCTCAGTTCACTGCAACCTCCCCCTGCTGGGTTCAAGCAACTTTCCTGCCTCTTGAAGAGCTGGGATTGCAAGCCCCCGCCACCATCCCTGGCTAATTTTCATATTTTTAGTCCAGACAGGGTTTTATCATGTTGATCAGACTAGGCTGGTCTCGAACTCCTGACCTCAAGTGAGCCACTCGCCTCAGCCTCCCAAAGCGCTGGGATTACAGGCGTGAGCCACCATGCCTAGCCTCAACTACACTCCTTATTATTCAGCATTAGAGTCTTTATCTTCAGTCTCTTCCAAATGCTTCTCAGTTCCACTGGAAGCAGATAATTATGATGTAGGAGCTCTCCTTTCTTTTACTTTCTTAGCCTTGTTTCTAAATCTAAATGAGTAATGTGGATTCCTTCAGGCCTGCAAATTCCCTCGTGAATTTCAAAATATTTTATTATTTCATTTTTCTCCTTAAAACTTAAGCCTTTTGTTTTTATTCACTACTTGAGATTCTTATTAGCAGGATGCTTACTCAGGTTCGAGATAATGTATTCAATATGCTTATCATAAAATAAACAAACTCAGTAGAACAGCATGCACGATGTTAGGGCAATAAATGTGGATGAAATGGGGCAAGAGTAGGAAGGTGGCATGGGTGTGTGTTTTACCATAGGTCACTTCATTCAGTCAGCAGTGTTTTCAGTGTTTCACAGTAATGCAAAGCACAGTCATCTCTTGGAAAAATCACGATTAATTTTGCCAGTTTTATTACTCTTTTTACCTATCACATATGAACACATTTTCATTTTAAAGATACATATAACAGGCTGGGTGCGGTGGTTCATGCCTGTAATCCCAGCACTTTGGGAGGTCGAGGTGGATGCATCACTTGAGGTCAGTAGTTTGAGACCAGCCTGGCCAACATGGCTAAACCCTATCTTTACTAAAAATTAGCTGGGCATGGCGATGGGCGCCTGTACTGGCAGCTAATGGGGAGGCTGAGGCAGAAGAATCACTTGAACCCTTGAGACAAAGGTTGCAGTGAGCCAAGATTACACCACTGCACTCCAGCCTGCCAACACAGTGAGACCCTGTCTCAAAAATAAAAAAAAAAAAAACATGTAACAAAACTAAAATAGAGGCACACACATAAATAAGCATATATATATACATATATATATGTGTGTTTTTTGTTTTTATGGAGACGGGGTCTCACTCTGTTGCCCGGGCTGGAGTGCAATGGCACAATCTTGGCTCCCTGCAACCTCCACCTCCTGAGTTCAAGCGATTCTACCTCAGCCTCCCAAGTGGCTGAGACTTACAGGCGCATGCTGCCAAGCCCAGCTAATTTTTTGTATTTTAATAGAGATGGGGGTTTCACCATGTTGCCCAGGCTGGTCTCAAACTCCTGAGCTCAGGCAATCCACCAGCCTCGGCCTTCCAAAGTGCTGGGATTACGGGCGTGAGCCACCGCGCCCGGCCAAGAAGATGTATTGAAAGTACTTGGGATTGGCTGGGCGCGGTGGCTCACGCCCGTAATCCCAGCACTTTCGGAGGCCGAGGCGGGTGGATCACGAGGTCAAGAGATCAAGACCGTTCTGGTCAACATGGTGAAACCCCATCTCTACTGAAAATACAAAAAAAAAAAAAAGAAAAATTAACTGGGCATGGTGGCGTGTGCCTGTAATCCCAGCTACTCAGGAGGCTGAGACAGGAGAATTGCCTGAACCCAGGAGGCGGAGGTTGCGGTGAGCCGAGATTGCGCCATTGCACTCCAGCCTGGGTAACAAGAGCGAAACTCCGTCTCAAAAAAAAAAGAAAGTACTTGGGATTATGCTAGGTACTTAGTAAATGCTTAATACATATTAGATATTGTTATTATGTGTAGTTTAGGTGTCTGTTTGCTTAACAATTTGCAGCATGGATGTAAAGAACTATTCCTTTTATTTTGCCTCTTCTTTCAATGACAAATCATTTGTGTTTTTTGCTGCAGCCCTAAGAAATCCCTTGCTTCTCCCCACGCCCTGTTTTGATACTGTTTGCCCTACTAAAGGAATATAAAAGTCAAATCTTAACAACATGACTGCATTCCTCCAGGATTTTTAAGGACCAAGTGAATAACATTATTTACATTTATATAGTGCTTTACAGTTTTCAAAGAGATTATATCTATTTGACTTACAGCAAACTCGTGAGCTAAATAAAGACTGTATTAAGATTTTCTCCATCTTCTATGTGGTGTATTAGTTTGCTAGGACCGCTGTAACAAATTTTCACAGAATGGGTGGCTTGAGCAACAGACATTTATTTTCTCAAAGTTCTGAAGTCTAGAAGTCTCTGATCAAGTTGCTGGCAGGGTTGGTTTCCTTTGAGCCTTCCCCTCTTGGCTTGCAGACGGCTGTCTTCTCCCTGTGTCCATACCTGGTCTTACCCCTGTACACCCTGTGTTCTAATCTCCTTTTCTCATAGGGGTATCAGTCATACTGGAATAAGGCCCCCTAATAACCTCATTTTAACTTAATTACCGCTTTAAAAACCGTATCTCCAAATACAATTGCATTTGACGCACTGTGGATTAGGACTTCAGCATATGAGTTTGAGGGTAACACAAATTCCACACATAACAGATGGAAGAACTGAGATTGTGAGGTCAAGTGTCTTCCCCAGGCTCAGAGCACAGTCGGGACCTGTTTTCTGTACTAGACACCTAAGCAACAAGGTAACTTCTAATTTTCACTTTCTAATATGTCATGGAATTTTTTCCACATCAATGAAGACACTTCTACATAATCTTTTTTAATATTACCTAGTTTCCCATTGTGTGAACATAATTAAAGCAATCCTGTATTGATCTAAGATGTTTCTTGTACTTAACAAAAAATATGCCTGGGCAACAAAGCGAGACCCTACCTCTGTAAAAAAAAAAAAAAAAAAAAAAATTATCCAGGAGTGGTGGCGAGCACCTGTAGTCTTAGCTACTCAGGAGGCTGAGATGGGAAGATTGCTTAAACCCAGGAGGTCGAGGCTGCAGTGAGCTCTGATTACACCACTGTGCTTCAGCCTGGGCAACAGAGTATGACCATGTCTTACAATAGTAATAATAATAATAATAATAATTCTACTATGAGCATCCCTGTAATTAATATTTG